GTTTAAAAAGGCTATATTTTCAATTGTACTTTATCAAATTTATTTTACAGTTTTTTATTTTAAACATTTACATTAAACATTTTTAATTTACTTATTTTATGCCCACAATTTCATTTTTTGAATTGTCTATTTTTGTTATTGTTTATGTTAAAGAATGTATATTTTTGTGTTGATAAGCCTGAGTGGTCTGTTTGTATTTGTTCAAATAATTGTTATGGGCAGGTTTCAATATAAAAATATTTGTCATAATCATGTCTTGTGATTATTTGACATCAGTTTAACTTTTAAACTGTAAGTGTATTTAATTTAGTTATGTTAGTTATGATAGTTTAGTTATGATGTAAATACAATAAAAATTAAACCAAGATTTATAATAATTATCATTTTGATCCGTACATTGGTATTGTCTGACTGGGCCTCGTGTCACTTTATGTTCAACAAATTGGGCCCTGAGGTCAAAAAGGTTAAGAACCCCTGACTTAGAATCTGAAAACACGTAACAAAACTACTCGATTCATGCGTCATTAACTCTTAAAAAGCTAAATGTCCAATTTTTGGAGGGCGTGGCCTAATTAGACGTGACGCGGTTGACATACGGTTGTCCACATTGAATTTTGTCATGGCTGTAAAAATTGAGCATTGGTAGAAATCAAATAATTTTAAGGCAATTCAATGCAAATTGTTGGACAACATTTGCAACTTGGACAGTTTGGTTACTTTTGGAGAATCTCCTCTTGGATCAGGAATCTGCAACATTATTTAAAGATGAAAAATAATAGTAATTCTTATTATGTTTTACCTTTTTTTGTCTCTGTAACAAAGCCACCTAAAACAACCCCACACATGTTAAAGCATCGAGTGATATTGCACATCTCAGTTCCTCTCAGGTACACATTAAAACTGCACTTCTATGTATGAAATAACTCAGCTGTATTTCCTACCACTGGTTGGTTGCTGCAGCCCCATCTGTCCGGCGGAGCTGCAGAAGTATTCTGTGCCCATCATCCATCCCTGAGCGTGTTGGCTGTGAGGGGGGGCAACAACATGGGTCTGACTGATGTTAGACCGGGCCAGCAGGCTGTTGAAACAGTTGTGTGCACTGGGGTCATTCCTTTTGTGGTAGGAGTGGCGGTTGTTAAAGCTGGAGCTGGCAAACGCGGCCTCGTTCACAAACACAGAGCCGTTACCAGCATGTGCCCTGGAGTGACTTGGTGGAGAGTCCTGAGGGGGAAAAATGTCACAATTACAGACAGACAGCTTTAAATGAAGAACTCTCACAATCTGTTAGCTCTTAAAGCAGGGGTGGGCAATCCTGGTCCTCGAGGGCCGCAGCTCTGCAGGTTTTATGTTTTTCCCTGCTCCAACACACCTGATTCAGACATTGAATCACCAAGTTCTGCAGTATGGAGGAATGACACTGACATAACTAGAAAAAAAGTAGAAATATACAGTATAAATGGACCAATAAATAAATTCAATTAAAGATGCGCCAATGAAATTTAAAAGGACAGCTTTACCTCACGTTTTATTATTTCATTGACTTTCATATTTATTTTTCCAACTTAGTTCCAACTAATGATATATTTTTGCACATAATTTACATTTTTCTGTTTTTTACTGTTTCACTGTTTTTAATATATAATTATAT